TGTCCCTGCCCATGGGGGGGGTGGGACTGGATGCTCCTGAAGGTCCCTCCAACCCAACCCATGAGCCCATCAAACCCCCCCATTGATCTGGGCTGAGTCCCGGGGGTCTGAGCTGTTGCAGAGGGGACACACCCAGGAGCACCCTTGGTATCTCCCTCACCTTCCTCTCCTCCCCAGGGTGCACTATGAGGGCAAGGACCACCCGAGGCCGGGCTGGAAGGTCCTGGACACCACCCCCTACAGCCGCTCTGCCAACCTCAACTCGGGGGGTCCCGGGCACCAACGCACCTTCCTGAGCTACCGGCGCGCGACCGAGCCCCACGGCCACAACACCCTGGGGGTCACTGACATCTGCCTGGTCATGCCCAGCAAAGGGGAGAACACCCCTCACACCTTCTGCAGGGTGGACAGGAACCTCAACACCAGCATGGTGGGTGTTGGGGGGGGGGGCGGGGTGTCCCCACCCCACCCCACCCCAAAGCAGCATCTCCTGATTGCTCCTCTCTCTCTGCTCCCTCCTTGCAGTGGGGACCTGCCCTGTTCCTGTGCTACAAGATCTCCATGGGCAAGGCCAACACGTTGGTCTATGAAGCAGGTAATGGTTGAGGGGGGTGGGTCAACCCACCATGGGTTCACCTTGGTGAGCTCACCCAGGTGCTCCCTCCCTTGTCTTGGGTGGACGTGGGAAATTGGTCAGTTTTGGGACATCTCGTGAGAAGAAGGACATGGAGGGGCTGGAGTGTGTCTAGGGAAGGGCAGTGGAGCTGGGGAAGGGGCTGGAGCAGAAGGAGAAAGGGCTGGAGAACTTGTGAGGAGCAGCTGAGGGAGCTGGGGGTGTTCAGCCTGGAGAGCAGGAGGTGAGGGGAGACCTGCTGGCTCTGCAGCTGCTGAGAGGAGGTTGGAGCCAGGGGGGTTGGGCTCTGCTCCCCAGGAACAAGGGATGGGACAAGAGGAAAGGGCCTCAAGTTGCCCAGGGGAGGTTGAGGTTGGATCCTGGGAACAATTCCTTCCTGGGAAGGGTTGTCAGGCCCTGGCCCAGGCTGCCCAGGGGGGAGTCCCCCTCCCTGGAGGGGTTTCCAAGATGTGGTGCTGAGGGACCTGGGGCAGTGGTGGCCTTGGGAGAGTTTGGTTGATGGTTGGTAGAGTTGGGTTATGGTTGGTAGAGTTGGGTTATGGTTGGTGGAGTTGGGTTCATGGGTGGTACAGTTGGGTTCTGGTTGGACAGCATGGTCTTCAAGGTCTTTTCCAACCAGGAGGACTCCATGATTCTGTGAAACCATGAGGTGAGGCTCATCCCTCTGTCCCTCCAGGGCTGCTGGGGCGTTACCCTGAGCAGGACAGTGAGTCCTTCCCCCTGCCTGAGTCTGTGCCTGTTTTCTGCCTGCCCATGGGGGCCACCATTGAGAGCTGGCCAGCGGGCACCAAGTACCCTCTGCCTGTCTTCTCCACCTTCGTGCTGACTGGAGCCTCAGGAGACAAGGCAGGAGGGTTGGGGGGGACAAGGGGGTGGGGGGCTCAGTGATGGGGAGCAGCAGGTCAAGGGAGGTTCATCCTGCCCTTCTACTCTGCCCTGGTGAGGCCAGAGTTGGAGAACTGGGACCAGTTCTGGGGTCTCCAGTTCAAAACTGGTGGAGAGAGTCCAGGGGAGAGGAGCAAAGATGATGGCTGATGGGGAATGGATGAAAAGTGGGAGAGGGAGCTGGAGGTTGGAGCTGAGGAGGGAATTGTGGAGTGTGAGGGTGGGGAGAGCCTGGGCCAGGTTGGCCAGGGAAGCTGTGGCTGCCCCATCCCTGGGGGTGTTGAAGGGCAGGTTGGATGGGGCTTGGAGCAGCCTGGGCTGCTGGGAGGTGTCCCTGGGGGTTGGATCTAAGATGGTCTCCAATCCAAACCATCCCACAGTTCCATGATGACACTGTCAGTGTTTTCACCTTTAGGAGAAGGTGGGTTTGGGGACAATATCTCCACCAGCTGCAGGAAAGGGTTGATCCAACTCCTTAATGGTTCAGCCCAGGCTGGTCCCATTGGTGGATGTGGGCTGGGAGGTGGCTGAGGACTTGGGGCAGGAGCTTTAAGATGCTGAAACAAAACATTTCTTGTCCCCCCAACCCACCCCACGACTCCACCCCCCCCTGACCAGGAAAGGGTTGATCCAACTCCTTAATGGTTCAGCCCAGGCTGGTCCCATTGGTGGATGTGGGCTGGGAGGTGGCTGAGGACTTGGGGCAGGAGCTTTAAGATGCTGAAACAAAACATTTCTTGTCCCCCCAACCCACCCCACGACTCCACCACCCCCCTGACCCACCCGCACCCCCTCCCCACGCAGGTCTACGGCGCAGCCATCCAGTTCCACGAGGCCTTCCCCCGGGAGAAGCTGTCAGAGCAGCAGAGCCTGAGGCTGGGCCTGCTGAGCGTGGTGGATCGACGCCCAGTGCCCGGGAGGTCCCTGCAGACCCGGAAGAGCATCTGTGCCTCCAGGCACATCTCCCACTTCATGCACAACGTCCCCTTCCCGTCCCCGCAGCGGCCGAGGATCCTGGTCCAGGTGAGTCCCTGTGGGTGTGGGTGTGTATGTGTGGGTGTGTGTCTGTGTGTGTGTCTGTGTGTTTGTGTGTCCCAGCTGACCCCCCAGATCCCACCGTGTCCCCAGAGCCCACTGTGTCCCCAGATCTCACCATGTCCCAGGATCCCACCATGTCCCAAGAGCCCACTGTGTGTATCCCCAGATCCCACTGTGTCCCCAGAGCCCACTGTGTTTCTCCCCAGATCCCACCATGTCCCAAGATCCCACCATGTCTGTCCCCAGAGCCCACCATGTGTGTCCCCAGATTCCATCATGTCCCCAGATCCCACCACACCTGCCCCCACATCCCACCATGTCCCCAGAACCCACCATGTCCCAAGATCCCACCGTGTCTGTCCCCAG